TCAATCAACCTAATAATATTTTGGATTTACATTAATTAGTCCAAAAAATTTGATGTTCCCTAAAATTGCATTATTGGGATCACCGTTAAATTAAGCACAATGCATGTGATACATAAAAGTTTCAATGTCGACTACATTTTTAGTAGCGTGTTTGCATGATTGCATGAAGAACGCAAAACAAAGACTAAGCTTTCTTGGAATAACTTTGTCACAAAAAAGGTAGATTGAAAATTTCAATTCATTAATTTTTTTGAAATTATTTAAATCCAACAAAAAACGTCGCTCTTTTTTTTTTCATTTCATTTATTTATTTTTAAAAAATCAATCACTTTGGTAGAATATTTTCGCAAAAATGGATGATATAACATTAGCGAACTTTGAAATCCCTTCAGATTTAATTAAACCTGCGGATCCACTCGATTACTCGGGAAGTAAATGTCGAGTTAAGAAAAGCATGTTTTTTAATTCACCTGTGGCTGAAAAGGAAATCGGAAAATTCAAAATAAATGATCAAAGACTTTGTGATTTGGAAAAAGAAGTCAACTACATTCATAAAATTTGTAATTGCAGATTTGTTCTTACATTGTAAGTATAAAATGTAAAGAGACTTTTATTTTTTCTTTGATTAAAAGTAAACCTTTTCTTATCAGTCACATTGTGTTCTTTTCCTTTGAATAGCTATGGTTACATTCGTCGAAACACAAGTTACAGCGCTATTTGGAAATGGGGTGGCTATAACCTACAAGCTTATCTTGCGGAGAACCCGAACCTGGAATGGACAATGAGACTGTCGATCGCACAAGGGATTTCTAACGCGTTGAACTTTATTCATAAAGAGGAGATCCTACACTATGACATTAGAAGGTGAATTTCATTCTGACGCACGATAATACGCTATAAATAAATCTTATACATTAATTATTATTAATTTTAATTTATTAGCTGCAACATCTACCTGAGCCATTGCTTGCAAGTTAAACTTCATGGTTTTCGTTTAGCGGAAGGTTCATCTATTTCACCGGTTATGTTAACTTCAGCTAGTGAACGTACGGATCCAAGATGGACTCCTCCCGAAAAAATTCGAGATAAAATCTATACTAAAGCCAGCGAAATTTATAGGTAATACTTTAACACCGTATACATTTATGAGATTTATTTGTTAAATACTAAAAATAAAAAATTTTTATTTATTTATTTATTTTTTTTTTATCGGATTAGCTTTTCCTTGGTTCTTTGGGAAATCATCAATAACCGTACTCCATTCAACGACATGTTGCCTGAAGAGATAACAAATAAGGTTCTCAATGGGGAACATCCGCAACCCGAGAGAACCAATGGCTCACCCGTGGAATATCAGGAAATAATGGAAAAAGGTTGGAGCATTAATCCAACGAACCGTCCAACCGCTCAACAAATGCTTAATTTATTAAGTCATTTGGAATCACAAGAATGGCTTGGTCATAGACTACCGAGAATTGGAGATGATGATCACTCTCAGCCCGATTTTCAAATACCACCTTTTTCACCAAAGAACTCGAAATTACTTGATTTTCCAATTTCAAGATTAACAAATTTAGTGTCAACATCAGACTCCTGTAAAGAGGTATTAGATTTGTTTGGAGCTGCAAAACGTAATAGAGATCTTTTTAATAGGGGAGTGGATATTATTAATGGTGGGAAGATCATTCTTAATGAAATAAAGCAAACTATCGATCGATCAACAAATCTTTATTGGAAGGATTGCATCGAAGAGTCTCCAGCTTTTCAACATTATAGTAATTATTTATTGAATATTGAGAATGTCAAGGGATTTATAGAAGTTGATGACGACGAGGTACAGTATATAATATAATTTTGTTTTGTGTAACATACTTCGGGAGGTTGAGCGGAATTCATTTTTTTCATTTTAATTGTTTAGGTTCGACAAGAAATATCAATGTTAAATGATAAATTAGATAACTTAACAAATGAATTGCGTAAATTCGTTCAACAATGGAAATCAGACTTTAAAAAATGTGGAGTGACCAGAAGAAAATTTAAAGCGGCCGTTAAAATGTTGATATTATATAAATCAACATCATCTAAATTAGACTGTGAAATCCCATCATATTTTGTTAATACAGAGAATTCATCGGTGGTTCCTGGAAGTAAGAATATTAAAAAGGGGCTTTATATGTACAGTGCTTCGGTGGCCGAAAAAGTCGTTGGAAAATTTGAAAAGAATGATCCAAAACTTAATGAATTGCAAGACGAAATTAATTACCTGAAAAGCCTCAGTGAATGTGAAAACATTCTCAAGTTGTAAGTATAATTAGTATAATTATTTTGTTTAAAGTGCGTCATGCGTTCTTTTCTCACGCACCAATTCCTTGTTTTTTTGAAAAGTCATGGGCTCATTCGTAGAAACACTAGTTGGAGTGTCATTATGAAATGGGGTGAATATAAACTACAACCTTATCTTGAGAAGCATCCAAATATGGAATGGACAAAGAAATTGTTGATCGCGCGCGGAATCGCCAACGCGTTGAATTTTATTCACACGAAAGACATCTTACATTATGATATAAGAAGGTATGATAGTTTTCTGTCACACATTTAACAATTTATATTTACTTTTCTAAATTCACTAAATTTTTATATATTAGTGATAACATTTACCTGGATACACTTTTACAACCTAAACTTTGTGGTTTTCGTATCGCAAAAGATTCGCCAATCATACTGAATTCGGCTAATGATAAAACGAATTCAAGATGGACTCCACCTGAGAAATTTCGAGAGGAAGAATACACAAAAGCCAGTGAAATATATAGGTAAATTATTTTTATAAATAATGCAAAATTTTTTTTTTTTTTTTTTTTAAAAAAAAAGTCAAATAGTTAACGTTTATATTTTCTTCATAGCTTTTCCTTAATACTTTGGGAAATCATTAATCATAAGTTACCATTCCACACCGTTGATCCTAAAGATATTAAAATTAAGGTTCTCAATGGAGAACATCCGCAACCTGAAACTATTAATAACGTACCAGTCGAATATCAAGAAATAATGAAGAAAGGATGGGATTCGAATCCAAGTAAACGTCCAACAATTCAAAAAGTATCAAATGTATTGAACAAATTAGATTCAGGATTACAAGGTGTCAAAATCGGAGATTATGACGATAATTTTCTTTCGCCAAAAGCTGCTGCATTCAAAGATGATGCTTCGTTTGAAGATGATGCTGCTTCGATACAATCAGATTATTCATATGTATCTTATAGTGCCGATTTAAATGTTACGCCACACGTTGCTAAAAAATCTAAAATTTTAGACAAATTTAATCCATTCCGCAAACATTTAGATATAGAAGAAGCGATTAAATTACATAGCTCGAAATTCATCGTGAAGTTGATTTTCATGATAATATTATTCGCTTTTATGGGATATCTTCAAAACAAAGTGTGTAACGTTCATAATAAAGTTTATTAAAGATATATGTATATATTCACTCTTTTATTTTATTTTATTTTAATTATAAATTTTAGAGTCAAATTGTTTAATTGAAAAAGTATTTGTTAGTAATGGAATATGACGATGGCGTTACACTTAAAAACTATTTGAAAGATAATTTTGATAGGCTTACTTGGGATGATAAATACAACCTTGCATTCCAGTTGGCTAGCGCTGTGTTATGTTTACACGAAGAAGGAATTGTAATAATTAATAATTAATTTTATATACAATAGCATTCGATTGGTGTACTTCCTTATATTGATCCAATAAGATATAATTCACCAACTTAGAAAATTGATGTTACAGTATTGGCGTGCTGTTTTGGAAGATATCAAGTGGACATCCTCCTTTTCATGTTGAAGATAAACCATACGATATGATTTAGCTA